ATTTTTCCCCCCTTTTTTTTTATTTTTTAGTCAAGAATAAAACTTTTCCTGATCTTACAACTTAGCACTGAGGCATAAATTAATATTTAATTATTTTATACTTATTTTTTATTCACTTTTTTATTCAACTCAACTTTTATTAATTGTTTTATTTTTTTCAGATAATTTAAGATAATTTAATGCTTTATTTAATTTTTATTTGAAATAGCAGAGAGAAAAATAATTCAGAAGTGAATTCTCTAGTGTCACAAAATTTAAAAATTATTTTTGATACATTCCTGGAGATCAGTCCATATAATATATGGGAAAATATAAGGGAAAATATTATTTTCCCTTAAAAAAGGTATGTGGCATCATAGACTCCATTTTTGCTTCATTACAAAAAGGGGAGGAAAGAAAGGATAAGGATTAGACAAGATGATCACTTAACTATAGCTATAGGTGCTGAAAGTTTACGTTTTGTAATTTATTTTTCTTCAAATAACTAGATTTAGTCAAATGCTTGGAGATTGTTGGTATTCTTAAATGACAAACCAATATGCAATCTAATTAATCACTCACTGTTGATTTATTCTTTGATTCTTTTTTATTGAATAGTTTGGTGATGAATTTAACTAATTGGCACTTAACTGCAGTGTTAAAACAAAGGTAGCATAAGTTACCTTATATATTTTTTTCCACTTCACCTGTTTGTGCAGAATTTTTTATTTTTAAAATAATTAAAGAAATATTTATATAGCGTAACATGCTTGTTATAACATATTGTCCATTAAAACCCAGATTTGAATTATGTTCTAAAATACAACAGCGGATAAGTAGACAATGAACCTTTTTTTAGACCTGAAAGTAGGAATCTCTCTCTTTGTGATATGATAAAGTGTTTTATGAACATCACCTGTCCATGTTGTGTGTTTTTTATGTCCAACCTGATGGTTGTCCATACTGTTTTTGAAAAATAGTCAAAGTCAAAGGGAGGCAGCTAATCTCAGTGAAGACGGACGAATATGGTCCTAAAGACATAAAACATGTTGCTGTTGAAAAGGTATTTAAGACAAGTTGTTTACAAAAAGAGCAAAGGTAAGACGGCTCCATTTGGGGGGTTTTGATGATGATTGGTCCGATTAAAGTCAGGATAAAGCATCTCAATCCGATTACAAATCCAGACTTTGACTAGGCCGCTCCTTTTTCCTTCAAAGCCAGAATATCTGGTGTAAGGAAGTTTAGGGGACCATTCTCATGTGGGAGAAAGTTTATCAATTTCTTGGAAGAGGTTTTTAAGTGCTGTATTTGTTTGAATACAAACATTAGTTTTTAAATGGAGCACTAAGCAGTTACAAACATTTAAAAGCAGTTTGTAGGTTTTACTGAGAGTTGAACTAAGATTACCAGATTCAAAGTGCTAATGATCGCGCCATAGAACCTGGTACACATTTCTGGTGTACTTTTATGTCACTGTCCTCCTGCTTAAACTGAAGGAACTTGAGCTCAAAAACACAAATGAATAGTTAGATATATTCATTTGATGAAACTAAGGATTTTCATCCAGTAGGTATCGTTCAGCAATCAGTAAAAGAGCTCCACACCACCTCACTGCCATGTATGACATTAGGTCAAATATGTTTTCCCTGAAAGGCTGCACTGGTTTTATCCAGATTTTAACATAACACTTCCCAAAAATCTCTTCTTTTGTATCTTCAGTAAATAAACTATCTTCAAGGATCGTTACAACATTTTGGCAATCATGAGATGGGGTTAAGGATTATTTGGAAGTCTCAGTCAGATTAGATTTTTATCCCTGTCTTTTTTATTTCATGAACCTAGAGAATAAATCTTGTTTTTTGAATTGCTTTAGAGAAAGAACTAACCAGATATGGGTGAGCTAAATTTAAAATTTAAAATACAACTCAGCTACTGTAAAATAAATACTGGTTGCATTTTTGGTTTAACTATGCTGGACATTTTCACATTTAGTCATGTTGGTTTGGATAGTTTTTACCTCATTACGAAGTAAAACCATACTTTAAAAAACTGTTATTGAATTAAACTCGTTAAATCATTTAAGTGTGATTTAACAAAAGTGAGAAAAAAAAAAAAAAAAAAAAAACAGAAAAGAAGGGAATGTCCATTTTTTTTAAAAATGCAGTAACAGTACCACTTATAAAGATGGGGAACTAACAAATGAAGACATTAAATTTTTTAATATAGCAAAAATGTGCTTTGCACTAACAAAGAAGTGAGGCTATGGCATTCGAGAGGCTGATGCTTGTTGATTATTGTTCAAAAATAGATGCCAGAAATTGCAAAGACAGGGCATGTTTATTTATGCAGCACATTTCAGCAACAAGATAATTCAGAGCGTTGTACATAATTAGGAAAAACTAGAGAGAAAAGTACACTTTAGTGGTACAATAGTTTAAAAAAAAAATAATACATGACTAAATAGGAATTAAAGTAATGGAATAGCTATATAAACAAATCCAATGATACAACGATCTATAATGCAATGAAAAAAGCTGAGTTTAAGCAACTGCTTCACCAAAATGCTTAGTGGGGCTGGCGTACTCATTTAGAGATAGGTGGATGTACGCTGATTACAGGCAGCTGCCTGAATGACTTTGCTGTCCAAACAGCTGCCAAGAGCGAAACAATAAAATAACAGGGTAGACACCTTACCAAATACCAACAGGTAATCTGCCAGATTCATCAGAAATGCAGAAATTTGGTTCTGTATGTGTTATTCTTCACAAAATTAAGGGGAAATTTTGATTCAAAATATGATTGGGGACGTTTTGGTGGATGGAATAAAAACAATGCTGCCTACTTAGTATATCATCCTGACACTGAGATGATGCAGAAGCACTTGCTAAATCTGTGACCAAGATAAAAGCGAAAAGGCAGACAGACAAACAGATGAGGTAGATAATCTTTACGACAGAATAAGACAGCAGAAAGAGTCTGAGATCCTGTTCACATGTTCAGCTCAGGGGTAGTTTTCTTTTTCTTTCTATGCTGTGTTTTATAAGATAAACACTTTCTTCAGATGAGGAGCCTTTCCTTAAATAGAAAGCTGAAGTATTACATTAAAAAAAAGTCAATAATATCCCTGAATAAAATGCAGTGCGACCAACAGTAGTTAAATGACCTCTAAATAGTGAGTAGAGTCCATCCGTATGAATATTTATAGCTTTTTATGTTCGGTTTCGGTGGAGATCTCAGAGGTTTGTTGAATATTTGAGAACAACAATAACAGGATTACCAAAGTATCACAGCAGATGTGGGGGGAAAATAAAAAAGTTTAAAACAGTGATTATTTGGTAAATAATACCCTTACTGATTTATCTTCTGTTTTATAATAATTTACCTCCCAGTCTATCAAAACTGATGCGCCAGGCAGTAATTAAACTCAAACATTTACGAAACAGAAAACATTTGGACACTGCTTTCTGATCCAATGAGGTAAAATTTGAACTTTACATCCATCTGGGAAAAGAAAAAAAAACAAAACACTCCCACTAGAGAAATATGGCGGCTCCAGCACCATTTATCATAGGAATGATGTGTTAAGCAGAAAGATTGAAACTCAGAAATGATGGGATGACAGATGAAGATCCAAGATACTGGGGAAAGGACAAAGCCCTAGTGAGCTGTAGAAAAACTAGGAAAGAATTGTATTAGCAGACTGGCTGGTGGCCCTCATTTCCTGATGTTTCAAGATAAATTCAGCAAAAGAAATATATCTGAAAAAATACAGTTTGAATGATAAGGACATTTAGCCTTTTAAATGTGGTGTGCTTTGGGCATGGGCACATCCAAAAGTTGCAGGGTGCATTTGCTCCTTTAATGTCTGCTGATGGAATAATATTTATGGGGAGTGAAAAGTTTTGCAAGGCACTGCGACTCTTTTTAGAAGGTAGAGGCATCATAAATTGACTCCAAAAATATAAAGACTAGTTTGTTTTCTTTTTATTGCATTTGTTGTGTGCTTAAAATGTGCCCAAAGATTATTCAAGGATGACATTGCAGCACCTGAACCGGAATTTAGGGATTAGGAAGTGTTTCTACGGCAGGTGAAAATGGTCTATTGTTTATGGAAAACCATAAACTTTTTTTTTAACCTGTGCAATCAATATGTTTTTGATCCAAGCAGAAGTTTCAAAGGCATTCCCAATCATGGCAAAGCTGTTTTTTTTCTTCCAGTGGGACGGTAGAAACATCACAGAAACTCACAACAATGTCTTCAATTAAACAAAATAACATAAAAAGATATATGAAACATATATTTACCCTTAATTCTAGTAGATCAATAAGATTATCTGCCAATGGGATGAATATTTTTTTACCCTTAAAATAAGATAATTAGATATTATGTACTTAATTTGAGACTACAGCTGTGTTTTAGTTTAAATGCAAATTGTCTTTTTTCATTTGCAAAATGTCTCTTACCTGGTCAATTCAACTCACATTCAATAAAAAAAAGAACAAAAAAATGATTGAAAGAAAATTTGACTTAGGTTTTTGTTGAGTTTTTAGGGCCATTTTTCTTTTAATTACCGTAGCTTGAAAATGTTTTTTTTTTTATTTATCTATCATCATTTCTTATATCACATGTGAGTCTCCAAACAATGTTTATTTAGCCAGATTTGAGCCAAAATGGCTCTTCGGATATGAAAGGCTGCAGATCCCTGAACTGGGCGCAAAATATTTCTAATAAGTTGAAAGAATTAAAGCAACCTGGGATTTAGAATCTCAGTCGTACTACAGTGAAACAGGTGTTCACGCCATTAATTTCACTTTAGTTTAGTCTGTAAATAAAACCTTTCCTGCACAGGTGACAAAAACAAACATCGGCCTTAGGAACTGTGTCCATATGCGCCAATCTAGATCCTCTGACCTAATCTCTTTATTCAGGGTGACAGAGGCAACATCCAGAATGCATTTTCACAAACCACCATTTAAACAAGCGATTCAGAAATAAATAAAGTCAGACAGTTCAGGTTAAATGTTATGTTTATTTCCCAATATGCCTCATAAATTAAAACCTCTTTGTAATCATTTTCCTAGGAAAAAATACCTCATACATACATTTCAGTGCACAAAGCTTAAGCCATGTTATTTAAAATAAAACAGCCATTCATTCATTTACAAACCCAGTAGTAGCCACATAACTTAAAAAATAAATTAATAAAAAAAAAAAACTAAACAAAGATGAGAACCTGCTGGTACCAACAGAACAGATGTTAAAAGAACCCCTTATTATTTTTGGTTTAGTTTCCCTATTATGTACTAAAGCATCAACTTTCAAAAAAAAATCCATCTCATGTACATATGTGAATACTGACATTCTGAAATCTTGCTATAATCTTATTTTCTGAAACAGGTTTTGCTAAAGATACTCTGGATTTCTGCGTAATTTCTTATTTACATAGTTAAGGGGATTTTTATTTTATTTGAACAACTGGAGAACCTAGCTGAACACAAACCCAGTTATTCACCACCCCTCCAAAAAACAAAACAAAAACATCAAGTCATACGCAGGAACCCTGAGTGCTGACGCTGTGCAAACACAAACAGGCTTGTTTGCCTTGAGTTCACCGAGCATACGTGAACGGCGGTTAAAAACGAACAAACACGTTAATTGATTCTGAGATGATCTCTAAGGTCTGAAACCCAAATATGGTCATTCACTCACTCACCCAATCAAATCATTCATTCCTCTTTACAGTTCAGGTTTCTTCCTCATAACTGATCTACTCTATATAAAGCACTTCTAGCTCATTTAGTTCTACTGAACTAAAGTTGTAAATTTAGTAAAAATTGCATTGGTTTGCTCAAAAATCTATTTTTTTTTCTCTCTCTAGTTATCATCTGTGGACTACTATCAACATGGTTCTAAACTTATCAATTAATTCAGCCTAAACTCCACATTAACATTTTCTTGATCACCACACCTTTAGACCTAGCAGCACATCGTCTCTGTGTTGTCTTGGTAAGAAGCTAATTGAAGCTCCGCCGATCGGAAATAAGAAATTACCACGACCAAAATGAAAGACACAAATTCAAACCAAAAAAATTAGGGTCATAGAATAAGATAAACTATCAATGGAGAGAAGCTTTGCCAAATCAAGTTTGTAGAAAGTAGAAATCATCATTGATCTAAAGTGTAATGGTTAAATTTAGTGAGTGGAATAGTGGTTCATCTTCTGGTTAGCTTAGTACCTCAAAGTGCAGAAATCCAAGGGAAGTGTTTGAGGAAGCCTCCTTATGTTTAGGACCAAAGTGGTTAAAGCAAAGACGACTCAATTAAACACAAACTTGGTTCTTAAAAAGTGGTCCAAAAAAAATAAATAAAGATGTTCTGATGTTTTAGAGATTTCAGGTGCTGGGGGCAGCAGCCACTTTTAAGGTCCTGCCAGTTTTTGGCCACTTGGTCCTTTGCTCCTCCAGGGCCCTCTGTCAGCAGTCAGAGATTTCAGAAGCGTTGGAGTCGCTGGCAAGTTTCCTGCGTTGCCTCACCGATTTCTCCTCATCCTGAAGAGCGGAAAACAATTATTCAAAATGCAATCCAACCCAAAGAGCGTTTCCAACCCAAGAACCTTTCCCAGGAATCAGAGTGGGTTTTAACTAGGAATTCATCCCATAGAACGGCCCTGAAGGCCACGCCTTAATTACTCCCCTGAACCTTTGGTCTCTGTAGAGGGTATTATAATTTAATAATCCTATACAGACTCCTGTACTGATCACATATTTTATTTTTAACTTAAATATACAGAAATCTGCTACTGGCCATCTATAGAGACAAAGAAAGCAAATCTAATAAAAGCAAAACTGTGGGGTTTGGAAACATTTGTTACAAAACAACAACAGCTCCATTCTCATTTATAACGGTTAAGTCCTAATGTTAAATGGCACAACGGTGCATTTCTCTGTGCAAATATCCTAAGAGACACGTTAGTTTTACCAAATGCATGAGAAAGAAACCCAGCTGGATGATTTGTTGCAGAAAATCTAGGGATATAATTTTGGAGCCATTTGTAAAAGCAGATATATCAGAGGCATGTTTGGTTTTAATTCTAAATTTTTCTGTCCCTTCTATGACCTTATGTAGCATCCAGTCATGGTCTTTGAGCTTTCCTCTGCTTACAGAGGGAAATAAAGGTTCAGGGTAATTAAAACATGCCTACAGGGTTCCAGTAGTGTCACATCTGTGAAGAAAATATGCATTTGTTTGACATGTCATTTACTAGTTCTCCAGTTAAACAAATTCTCAACAAAATGAGAGCTACTGATTATTGTTATATAGCTTCGATATTTACTCATGTTCAGTTATATAAAGGGAGTCTCTGTGGATGAGCTCAAACGAGCTTGTTTAAATTTTAGGGAGGTACAGAGGAAGTTATCAAGCAGTTTTAATATTTCTAAAGTCTTTGTTGATGAATTTGGCTTATATGTATAATCTGGTTGTAAGTTTGATTTTAATCAGGACTCACAGTCTGGAAGACTCCATTTTGTCCCCACTCCCCCGGGGAGTGGTCCTCAGGATCCTCATCCTCCTCCTCTTCCCCCTCTTCTTCTCTCACTGTATCCATCCCATCTTCCTCGTACTCCGTCAGACAGTCAGACTCTTCTGCTGAACACAGGGATTTAAAGCACACATTATCTAAGATACTGTAACTAACCCCCACATCCATCCATCCATCCATCCATCCATCCATCCATCCATCCATCCATCCATCTTCTGTCACGCTTTATTACAGCTGGGGTCAGGAGGGGTGCTTGTGCCTATCTCTAGCAGTGAATGGGTGAGAGGCGGACAGGTCGCCAGTCCATCGCAGGGCAACACAGAGAAACAGGACAAACAACTATTCACACACTCACACCTCTGGAGAATTTAAAAAAGCCAATTAACCTAACAGTCTAAATAATCAATAAAATGAATGAAGCAACATATGTCCCAGAAACATTCCATTTAAGTCAGAAAGGATAGATTCTTGTTCTAAATTCCAAACTAGGAAGCCGCCTTCACCTTCTGCAGCTACGTAGCTTTGCACAGGCTCTATCCTGGACACGATCTCTGCTAGATCCGTGAAGTCAGCTCCTGGACACGTGCAGGACTTAAGACACAGAGTCATCTTCATTAGTGTCCATAAAAACTCCTTTGTGGTGAAATGTATGTTCTAAATCAAACCAACATTTATGATCCAAGTGTATGAATGAGCTCAGCTTACATCTGTTCTCTTGCTGTCATTGTAGTCAGCAGAGCGGTGATCCCTCAGCATGTTCTCAATGATGTCGCCTCGAGCCCAGCCAGTGAAAACCAATTTGCCATGCTGATAGCCAATGTCCTGCAAGTCATTAATACAAAAAAATTAATAAATAATAAATCAGCTATCATCAGTTTTTTAGATTTTAACCATATACTGAGGCAGGATGTAGCGAGGATATCTAAAGATGAGGTGTTTTAAAATTAATTGGTACGTTTTAAGGGGATATCTTTTTTTTTTTTTTTTTTACATACATGCCCAACATATAAAACAGGCGGTTATATCATTGTGCTCGTATGATTTTTAGTTGACCCGTGTCCTTGTAAACCTCCCCAAGTGGCTGCGTTAACATCCAAATGTGATGACAATTTTGGGTACATTTTCAAAAAGAATGCGTGAATCACACAACTTTCCATCCACTGGAGCAAATTCTATTTTTGCCGTTTCCACTAAACTCTTAAGATGGTTGAAAAAAGCGGACAATTCCTCATTAGTGACCTAATGTAACTTATCGCCCAGAGCAGAACATTTCAGCACAAGAACGATTTTCTTCATTGGCCTTATATGAGATTATTCTCTGAGAAACTGTTTATTTTATTATTTATTTTCATTAGGTAACGCATAAAGGCATTTAAAACACATAATATAAATACACTATTATATAGATAAGGTTCTCTTTCAGAATTAAAATTCCCACATCAATTATTATTATTGAGATCCAGCTGCAGCTCCTGATGGCACAAATATTGGTGTGGTGCAATATGTTAAAAACAGGCTATAGGAAGAAACTCCACTTACGTAGATCTCATCAAACTTGCCAAAGTCCATGGTCTTAAAGCGGTCAATAGGTGGTCTGATGTACTCGCAGTAGGCACTTTTCTTTACTACCTCTAACTGCCGCACACACGACACATACGCCAAGCGTGACTGGATCTCTGCCATGTCTGGAACCTGTGGGAACAATTCATTTAGACCAACAGCAGTGTAGGGACTGCAGCCGTTTTATATAAAAAAAAATTAAAAAAAAATCTGAATGTTGTAAAACTGTAAATCAAATCAGTCTTATGTTTGCATTTTATCACTTAAGCAATTTAAGAAATGTAAATGTCTTGAGAGCTGTACTAAACAAAATTTCATTTTGTATACACCATGTGAACAAAATGACGATAAAGTTTGTCTAAGTAAACATTTTCATCAAATCAATCCATCTTAAAATAAAACTGCTGTATCTAAACAATAAAAAAATAAACCAAAAACCCTCAGAAGCTTTTTCCTGTTATTCAAGTTGAATTCATCAGTTTACCTTCACTTTTTCTGCCCAGGGATTGATTCTCTTCCACAGCAGCCACCAGCCAGACAGGCTGTCGCCATAGTTACAGAGGTCCGTCTCATCCTGGCTACCCACATCGATGGCAATGACCGTCCTGGTGCCTATGTTCCTTGCAATGTCCGCTGTTGGACGTTTGACCCAGCGGCCATAAACACAGTCATACAGATGTTCAAATAAAGCAAGACAGAGAAACCAGAAGCACACAACGGAGGGAAACAAAAACCATGTTCAATGACTTTCCTTGAACAGATTTTGGGTGGAGAAGGGTCAGGATGGACTACACCACAAAAACTCCAGTTTAGACTGCACTACTCCATTTATGGTCAAATTCATTAGGAAAAAATCTGGTGTGGGGATAAGGGAAATGGAATAGTAAGCATGTGGTCTGAATCGTTGCTTTTCTCTCCGTCTTATTTGGCAATAAAAGTTTTTGTGGTGTTGAGTCCATTTAAAGAAGGAAACAGGAAGACCATCAAAAAAACCCAAACAATAAAACCCCTATGCAAAAAAAAAAAGGAGAAAACAATAATAAAAGAGCTCTAATTCCTCTTTAAAGGAGGTGGAAATCATAACAAAGGATCCTGATTCTGAGGCTTCTGTCAATAACAGGATTACTGGGTTAGAATTGCTTCTTTTATAGCAAAGCTGAAGATCAGTGTTTTAACACGATTCCAAATATAAGCAATTCTTTTGAGATCTTCCTCCAGGGAAGCTTTAGTCAGTACTTTTTATGTATATAAATTTTAAAGCAGCAATACTATGTGTAATGGATTATACTGGAATTAAAAGGCAGGGTAAATGCTTAATTACTTAAACGCTTTTAAGTAATCAAATACACGATCTACAAAATGAATGAATAAATCAAAATTTCTTCTCTCATCAAGAAAACACACAAAGTGTTTTTTTTTTTTTTTGTTTTAACAAAGACAGTAGATGACTTTAAATTTCAAGTCAAAAAAAGAAGACACAGATATGAGGCTGGGCGAATTGCACTGGGGTCACTATTCTTATTTTAGGTCATGAAGCTATTGTGCTTATATCTTCAAGCACAAGCATAAACTTCAAAATGTCTCCCACTATAAATTTTTAAAAGGCCAATTCAGTTCTGTTGCCAATTAATATAAATCTAAAATATATATATATATATATATATATATATATATATATATATATATATATTAAAAAAACACATTTCATGAATGAAATTTGAAAAAACAAAAACAAAGAAAAACTGAATTTTACCATCAGAACAGACTGGTGTGCTGAGTGACATAAAAGCAAATTTTGAGTAGTTTTGGTTTTCAATTACATCCGAATCCTTTCAATTCCTTCTTCCTCTACACCAGGCTGTTTGACGAGTAAATCCTCTCAACCTCAGAAAAAACACAGCTGGAAGTTCAATAAAGTGCTGACTTTTCCCATCTTTTAACCAGTTTTATTCAACAAACTTTCAATCATCTGTTTGTTGAATAATAAATTAGGCATTGACTGATTTAGAAAGCACGTTACTGCCATTTAATTTAACAGCTTATATGTAAATCCAAAATTATTTATAGTCCTAGCAGAATTAGCTTAAAAAAAATCTTTAAAAAAAGGTTTATCCATATAATGAATATAAATTAATGTTATTTTAACATTGTAAAAAGACTGGTATATTTTAGATGATTGTTTCTTTTTAGAGGAATATGATAACCTACAGCTTTTGAAACCCCTAATATCTAGCTTCTTGTAAAATCATAACGTAAAATAAAGCTACTGAAAACATTTTTAACCCTGGTTTAAACATACCAGAGGAAGCTTACTGAGCTAAAAGGTATAACATAGTATTGCTAAAGTTTGGGGAGTTTAACCAGCTGCTTTATGTGGTGATATAAAAATCAAAGTTGAGTGAAAGAAGGAAGTGTGGTAGTTAATGTTACACAGGCAACAGGCATCCTGGCTGTGATGCAAACCTGGACTTGATGCCGTTAAAGAGATGCTCATTTTATTTTCCGGCAGGACGTGGCTTTTATGGCCAGTCAAAGCTATTATTATCTGGTTTAATGGCCACAGTAACACTGTTTTATTCACCAAAATATGGGCCTGAGTTAAACCAGTCCAAACAATATAGACGGGCTATTAAAGCTATGAGAGCCTCCTTATCACCATACGGATGTTACGCCACGGTGAGGAAGTCCTAAATGAATTCATAGCCCCGACTGAATGCTTAAACTCAGCTAAAAGACATTTACGCAGTCTTTCATTTATCAACATTACCTTCTAATTAAACCATTTTTGGGTTTTATAAGCTCTAAGTCAGTCAACTTTTAGAAAAAATAAAAAAAGGATTGAAACTATAATGAGTCTTGGTAATATACCAGATTCATTTTCTGAAGTCGACAAGTAAAATAAAACTACTTTCTATGATATTTAAATGAATTAAAATGAATCCAATTTGAGTAAGTATAAAATACATTAATTACAGTCACTGGTTTAGATTAGGAAAACTCAGCATCACCACTGGACTACCCTTAAAACCCCGTCCCCTTACTTACCTCTACAAACACACATTAGTAATTTGATTAATACAACTCCCCCTTGAAACAACATCCCCACCCATGACTCCCCCTCCCCCATCCGCTAAGAAACAGGAGCTGGTGAGACAATCGGAGGTATGGAGGGTTGAGGTTGAGGGAGGGGGCTGGGGTGCCATCTGGGGCCGACTCCACCTGTACTTGCCTGGCAGGTTGTTGATGTAGCCACCGTCCATTAGCAAGTTGCCGTCTTTGGGGTCGCAGAGAGGCGGCAGGTACCCTGAGAGGGTCATGCTCGCCCGTACATAGCGCCACAGAGAGCCTGGCACACCAGGGAGGGGAGGAGGGAGGGGGTGGGATAACAGCTCAATAATGTTTGCTAAACTTTAATTGATTAGTGTGTTGACACAGACCACAATCCAAACACCGGAGGGGGCTCAGCCAGAGGACGGAGGCTGATCCCTGCATGGGCTGGGACTGCAGTGCTGCTCAACTTTAGACTCTGTTGCAAACCTCATCACCTGACACAGAAGCCCTGGGAGACTTGTGCAAAAGGCAATAAAGGATATGGCAACAACCAGAGAGCGCTAAGGCTTGCTCAGACCTCCAAATCGTGTCTGATCAACAATGCTACATTACTTCTGTGTGAATTCATTCATCTTGATAATTTAAATTTTGGAGCAGCTGCATCAGCCTCCTTTCTGTGCTCTGTTTATTGTAATCTTTCTAGAGACATACGTAGCTGTAGCATATGTGGATGAGACAATATTTCAAGGTCTTTCGCTGTGAACATGGCAGACAAGCAACTAGCCTACTCAGTCCTGCAGTAAAGCTCGGTGCCAGCAGGGGGGAAGAGCAGGCTAGAAGCTGCATGGATTGGAAGGATAAGGAGCACCACAGAGAAAAGCCAGGGGTGCCGCTGTGCATGTAGTAAACTCATCGCTGAGGTGGGATTATCTATTAAAACATGAGAGGCAGCCATCTGCACGAGTGTCCGGGTTTGTTTGGTTCATGTAAGGGAATTAAATTGTGCAACAGCAGGATCCAGAACACACATTCTCATTTTTGCAACTAATCAACAAGAACTGGCATGCAGATAAAAGGAAGCAAAGCCAGGGAAGAAAAGAGGAGCTGAGCAGGAGAGGCTGAATATGTTCCTGTAGGTAGATATGAATAAAATAAAACAGGACAGAGATGAACTCACTGAAGGTCAGGATAAGTTCAGTCCTCAGGAGAGAAACTTTTAGATCCTCCGACCCCTAACAGCACAAGACGTACGATGCAGGTATGATATTTCAGGACTCTTGGGATTCATATCTTAAACGGCATTTGTTTTTGTCCTCTTTTCATGTTAAAACCTTCAAATTCAAAGTATTTTTAGGGGATATATAGTGATACCAGGTAAAGCAGGGCTGTTAAGTAGAAGGAAAAGTGTGTATGGATAATGCTAGGGATGCACGATATAATCGGCCCCCTATCGGTATCGGCCTGTATCGGCCTTAAAACTGAATATCGGACATCGGCCACCCCACCGATATTTAATCCGATATTTGATCAGCTTCTGAGTTTCTAAAGTCAAAAAAATAATAAAAAAATACTATTACTTCTTCCTCAAAAACTTCTTTTTTACAGACTTAAAAACTTGTAAAGACGAGGGAAAAAATATTGATACATTAAAATATCACAATATCTTCATACGCTGATATATTGCCATTTAAAAACACCATATCAATCTCTTTTACTAATGAAATATTGCTATATGTCATCGTTATGCTACGAAATCCCCCGAAAATCCACGAAATTTTCCATATTTTTTTATGTTGATATATTGACGCGGTATCGATCTATTTTACTAACAAAATCTCACAAGAATTTGCCAAATATCACGAGAGTTTGTAACAGAACGATGAAATTTCACGAGATTTTGAAAGTAAAATAGCTCAATACCTCATTTTTAAAAATCAATTTGATATCAGCATATGAAAATATATTTGAGTGTATTATTATTTGTCCAGCTTTAACATCGGTATCGGTTATCGGCTACATGAGTTTTAAAATATCGGCATATCGGATATGGCCAAAATCCCAATATCGTGCATCCCTAGATAATGCGTCTTCTATTAGAAAAAAAAATAATTTTTTTCTAGTAATACCTTTTTAGTGGAATTAAAGCTGCAGATAAAAATGTATTCTTTCCAGCAAATAGACATGGTTTGACCTGAACTACTGCATTTTAGGCTGGATGGAGGGTTACTGTCATTTTGCTTCTAGACAGTAAAGCTCTTTGTGGAGCTGAAATACGTTCTGAGTACATGGGAGCAAGAATGGAGCTAATCAAGACTCTAATGTAAAATTAATACTAAATATCACCTCATAAAAAAAGACCTTGTATTTGCTACAGAAGGTTAACATCTGTCAATCCAAGCAGTGATTCTAGTCCATGTATTAGCCATGGTCCTGAACGGCTCGGAGCCATATTTGTGAAGTGTGGGAATAAAAGCTGTGCTTTAACATATCTGAGTCAGAGATCTCTAAGGCCGTTCTGGCTGCTTCTTGGGCTAAACCTCCTTGTCTGATCGGTCAGTCGATGCAGAAGGACGGTCATGTCTCTGTAAGTTGCCGACTGTGTCACAGTATACTGATTCCAAGATGATGGAATGAATGGTGCTCAGTGAACAATTAAGCTTTGGTTGTTGTTTTATTACCTATTCCTGCCTTAAAGAAGTCCACAGTCAAATCTCTAACCCATCTGGTGGGTTCATCCAAGATATCAGAGTAAAACTAAAAAAAAAAATGCAGTCCTTGCTTTTATAGATTTCATAATGATTTTTAAAACCATGCATACTTTCTGTTGGCCCATCACGTAAAATCCAGATAAAAGGTATTTTTTGGTTTGTGGCTGCAAAGTGTTAAAAAATGCTAAAAAAAAAAAACCCCAAAACAACTGTAAGAGGTTTGATTTGTTTGCTGGAAATCTATATCTTTAAATCTACCCCCATCATAAAATCAATACCTAATGTTTAAATGTCGACAAAGTCCCAAGCTGTTTAACCAGATTCAACCAACCCATCTAATAGAATCCCTAGTTATTGTATGAAAATAAACATTTTAAAAGAGAGCATAGGTCAGTATTTTTATGCGGTACATGTCTTTAAATTTTCAGGAAAAAGAAAAGATTTAGCAGAAACAAAAAAAAAGAAAACACCTGATGGTCGTGCTTTAGATGATTAAACATGCAGGGGCAACATCTCTGATCTCAGAAATGTTGCACGGCTGGATCATATTCCTTCAAATAGAGTTCTGTCAGTTTATAACAAAGCCAATTAAAACTACAACAGGATGTATTTAAAAGGATAATAGACAATCTATGTCATAAATGTGGGATTGTGCATTTCCTTCCAAACCATGGGCTCCCAATGTCCACCTTGTCAAGGACGGGTTAGTGACAAATGAGAAGTGGGAAAGAGTAAAGAGGAGGGTAGCCAAGTGGTTGACTGTCGATTCGGGGACCAAAACAGGAGGTTTTAGTGATAGGGTGTTTGAAATCTGACCTGGGACATTGTTAACATAGCAACCATCCACAAGCAAGTGGCCATCCTTGGGGTCGCACAGGGGAGGTAAATAGGGGGTGTAGGAGGCGCTGGCTCTAACATAGCGCCAGACGCAACCTGTCGGGAAATGGAGATGAACAAGGAGGATCACATAAAATATGAGCCCGACCGCACGTCACGCATGGAGAAAAAAAATGAGGACAGAGAAAGGAAGAGAAAAGGAGGTAAAAGGTGGAGAGGGAGAAATGCCCGTGACACCGAGACAGAAAATGACAGAAGCAACAGGGAGAAGAAAGAAAAGGAAGTGCTTTCAGCAAATCTACTTCCAATACTGTGCTAAAGTCCTGGGGCATCCCAGTTTTCTTTAGACAGTCTGTCAGGCATTTATGCAGACTCATAATAGACATCACCAGCACAACAACCTACAAAACAGCCAAACCAAATGATGCTATCACCGCCATGCATAACAGTGTTTTGAAGTCTGAAAGCCTGATTTCACCAAACACATCTATTACCACTAAGGCCAAATGAATGGTATAAGGGATGTTGCTAGTCCTTTAAGGCAAAGACAAGTTTAACTTATTCTTCAAGGTGCTAGACAGAGGAATTCCTTGCATCTTGAATGTCCAGCAAGGTCCATGTGGATGTGAAACATACCTTACAATAAACAGTGACAGCAGACCCCTTCCAGTTATAATAAGCTTAATCCTTGGCCATAACCTTCCTTTCATTTCTCATTTCTAAACCAAAAAGAAATGCTTTACACTACAAATCCTAAATCATTTAGTAAAATATACAGCATGTTAGTAACATGCCCACAACTTAGTTATGTTGAATAATACAGGCTTAAAAACTGGTTGGAAACATATTTAGAACATATTTAGCCTGAAATAAGTGCAGTTTATCTAAAACCTGCCATAAGGATATAACTGCTGTATGGCCCTGTTTTAATAGAAATAACATACCTAAATTCAAACTTATGACCAAATTCCTGTTTTAAAAATATATTAATATTTAATGCAGCATCTTAAAAAAATGGTGGAAGAATGAACCAAATGCAGACTCTAAAATAGCTCAAAATGGATGACTTTCATGTAAAAGATTTGGCAACATGAACCTCTGACTCAAACTGCCAAAACTCTCTAGATTAAATATTTAAAGTTCTTGGTGCTAGGTGAAAAGTCTTTTCCAGAATACAGTTATTGACCAAGATCATTTCAAAAGTCTGTCAGAAAATATGGTACACTGGAAGAAAATATCAACATCCAGGATGGTGTAAAACTAAAACAGCCACATTTCTTTTAATGGCGTAAAAATAGGTAGAAAGATTGGAAAAAATAAACCAATAAAAAAATCTTGATCAGCTTAATATCAGTCAAACTCATTGGTTAACTAATGAAAACCATAAAAAAAAAACTTGTTTAGAACCTGAGATTCTCTTTATTTGGAGCTTCGAATGAGTTTAAAACAGCATTAGTGTTGTTAGGAGACTGGCTAAAACAGGTAGTCTGGGAGAACAACTCTGGTGCAACAAGGAGAAATGTTCCGTGATGGAAAAAGGAAAAGTAAGTGAGTGAGTGAGCAGACCGCCAGTTTTCATCTGCTTGAGATGTAATCATTAAAAGTAGTCCCAGTAGTTTCGACGGTACGATGAAACCATGAATGGTATAAAAAGTCCAGTCTCTTTCTATCTGAGCCATGGAAAAGGCATCTAGTAACTTTTTCCTTCCATAACTGCTTGCTGAAAAAGCACCAAATCAAACTACCAGAGGTTTAGAATGGAAGTAAATAAAAGACACAAACAATGTAGCATGTTATTAGGGGAAAGATGATGAAGATTTAAGAGTGATGTGTTCTGGATCCTACAAGTTGACATGAACATGGCAGGGGGGGAGGGGGATTGTAGTGCCATGGAATCAGCATCTACACAGGTTATTATAACTAGAGCACAAGCTTTAAAAGGCTGTCTGTGTTATGTGTATTTATTCTGCAACAATATTAAACAGGTGATTCAGACAAACGATAAAAAGAAAGAAGCTTCTATGAGGAGGAGGAAAGTGGAGAAAGTGAATCAGAAGAGGGATAAAGAGTCTATATAAAGCTCATAATGGCAGTAATGACAGAGGAAAAAGGTGTTCTCCAACAGTTAGTCCAGAAACATGCCAAGATGCAAACACCAGCAGCATTCCTGCAGGACCACAGACTCTAACCTCAGGAAATCCAGCACTAAGACTCCAGGAATGGCATCTGAATCAGCAACAACTCAATGTGATGCACCATATTGTAAAGGATAGTTAAGTATTATATTGACTGAAAATAAAGTATTATATTGACTGGAAATCAGAGCACTGGATTTGTGAGGTTTATAGAAGAAGGTTAAAAATTTGCTAAGATCTACTCAAAACATTTAATAAAAGCAGAGACAGGCACAAATCAGGGTTCTCATTTATATAAATTCATTGAAAGATGTTTCCAACTCTCTGGCTGCAGCAACTTTAACACATTTAGAGGTTTATTTGTACAGAATTGTCAGCGAGCATGTCAATAAAGTTTATGTGTTTGACTTTGGTTTCTGTCCGTTCCTAATTTTAGACCTGTTTTGTTCAGACTAGACTTTCTATAAGCCTCTTTCTCACTAAAGATTGTAGTGAATGTGTTTTATTGTTTTGCTCTTTTATCTGTTCCAATTTTTTTTTTATGTAAACAGAGTTGTTGTGGCTTGCTAGATCAAATGTGGCCGGCACAGTGTGTTGATGTCCGTATGTTGCGCTCAAGGGTGTCACATAATTTAGCAGGTTGACCCAGGTCTAATGTTCCTACCGTTCACTAATCAGAGCTGAGCCGTTTAAAAGTGATTTTAGTCTGGGCAGTTTAGTGAGCAATACACACTGCCACTAAAAGCCAATTTTTGCCAGGTTTAAACAGATTTTTCTGCCAGTAGTAAAGGGTTATATATTCCTGAGGTATTTTTGATGCAGAGAATAAAGACCAGGTCCATCACATCCAGTTCTCCTAAATGCTGTCAACAAATGCTGAAAATTAGGGTTTAGACTAAATCTTTGGTCCAACCTATGTGAACTGAGCCTTAGATTACAAGAGGTTTCAGTGTATCTAAGTATTCTTTGAGAGGCATGGCTTTAAGCATTTTCAAATTTGCACCATTTATGTGTGAGTTTTGAGTGTTTTTTTCATGGTTTGGTGCACGTTTGCACCTGTCTGCAGTTATAACAATGGCAATCCAAAACAATGAATGCATAGACTAATCTGCTAACCAGTATTACAACCAATTACCAATTATTCATCTGCTTGAAATGAGAACTTAACATGACAATAATCAGACTTGGTAAGAAACCATTTCCTGAGTATTGTGAAATATCTGCATAGTTCCTCAATTTATTTGGTCTTTGGTAAAATTTGTAAACTTTATCTCTGCATTTATTAAGTCCAATCTGCTAAGGGTTGAATTTTTCTGTATTGAGCTGCAGGTTATCAGAAATATCATAGTTTTAGATTCAACATTAGGTATATAAATGTTCCAGAACAGCTCTTGATGGTTGACTGACTACATAACACGCTGTTAGACTGCTTCTTTGAAGTAATTGAAACCCATTTTAGTCAGCGCCAATTCCACACAATTGTCCTGTTAAATGTTGGGAGTGACAAACACATACCTTTATTTGCTTTAATGCACATTTGCTGCTGAATCATTGTGAAATATATATGGCAAAAGATCAAAACTGAATGCTGATAAAGAAAAAAAAAAAATGGCCTTCGACCCAGCTCAGCTGTCACTCACCATCCTGATGGACCCGCATGGCGGAAGCTGTGATGTCTGTGGTGACGTTGAAGTATGGAAGCCACAGATCCTGAACATAAAAGACATTAACATCTGCAGTAATTAACAATATTTGTCTATTTGTTGAATATAGAATCTTTCAGAAATGATCGCGCCTGTTCAAAAAGGTTTTGTCTCACCTCAATTTGCTTGTCCTGAAAGACTTTATAGATACTGGTGTTAAAAGCTGAACCCGAGAACATGGAGGTGATGGGATAGGTGAGGTCCAGGACTGTTTTAAATACTGAATTCATTGCCTGTTAAGCCAAAAAAAAATACAAATATTCACTATTGATTCCTTGAATGGAAAAGATTAAAGTCAGGGATTTATTTTCCATCTTGCATACAAATATGTCAACACGTATGAGACAAAAAAAAAAAAAAGAAGGAAATGTCCTGAACCTTGGACCACTCCCTAGCTCTTTGTTTAGTCCGAACAGCACTTCTCTCCTCTGCATACAGAGCTCCGATGAATGAGCCGATCGATGTGCCACCCACTATGTCAATAGGAATCCCCGCTTCCTCCATAGCTTTAATCACCCCCACATGTGAGCAGCCTCTGTATGGGAAAAAAGCAGACACAAAGGTTCGGAATGGGGCAATTTATATGACAGTGTAGATTATAACAAAATGATTCCTGAGAGTGACTGAACCCGTTTGCACTATAAAAAACACCAGAGGTAATATTTCTGCTCGAAGAAATAAAAAATATGAGTTGCAGGTTGTTTGATAAAAGGTGTTGTTTATAAGCCGACTAAGAATTGAAGAATTCTAAGGAAATCTAAAATTGTTGTACATGATAAGAAAAACCAAAGATTAGAGTCAACAATGTTTCTTTGGGCTCAGATGAGCTTACCTTGCTCCGCCTCCTCCTAGCACAAGCGCAATGCTGTTTCCAGTGAGAACTCGGGCCAGCCGAGAGAAATCGCTGTGTCTATCCGCCGTTTTCTCAAACACCTTCTCATAAACCTCCCTCTGCAAAGAAAAAACAAAGATCCTCCATTCCAGCTTTATTTACAAACAACTTGAAATAAAACAATTAGCTCTTAGCGCAACACAAAAAAGCCCTAAAGAGCATAGAAACGTACAAGTTTAGTGGGGCCACGTCTGGAGAAAACCCTGCGGGGACACTTTAGGTGGAGATGACCGGAGCACCAGCTGCGCATGTTTAGCCACTCGACAGTTCTGGACGGACCCGGTCCATCCTCTCTGTGCAGGAGGATGAGTTTCTTCAAAGCTCGGACTGCTGTGTTTTCCAGCATCTGTTCCAACTTCAGGGACAAAGAGTGGGAGGAGTGCCAAAGTGACGTCATTGCTCTTACAAACCTTTACTCCAAACTCTGCCTGCAAACACCTACTTCTCCCAGAGCGGGTTCCTGGTCCCCCAAACCCACTATAAGGATGCAGTCAGCCTGCCGGATGCAGCGCTGAGTCCACGGCGTCATGCTGTTGTCAGTCTGGTATAGAACGATTCGATTGATGTCCTCCTGCTGGGCCAGCCAGCCAGACAGACGATACTCATGGATACTAAAATTAAGAATACAGTATTTTAATCCAGTAACCAGAATCACTTACTTAAAGGAAGAAACTCCGATAAAAAACTGTAAACCAATCTGTCTGTATGAAAGGTTGAATTGTGTCTATAAAGGGTCCTGAGGTGATGTGTTGTGAATTGGTTCTATAAACATGAAATTAATTCAAATAAATTTAAGAAAACCAGGCTAAGTGTTTGTTGAAAAAAGTAAATGGGTAATTAAACTCCTAAATTAAAGTAAAAACTAAATTCTTCCCTTTCCATCAGACTGACCTGTCCAAAGCAGAAGCTCCCAGACGCTCCCTGATTATATCGCTGGTGAGAAGCAGAGTGGGGCCTTCAAGAGTCCAAAAGAAGGGAAGGTAAACAATTTACAACCATAAGAAATAGAATAAAAGACAATATCATAGAAATCTGTCTCTACAAGATGAAAAAAATATGTACCAATGGCACTGAGGGCATGGCTAAGCTCCAAGTTGAACGCGTTTATTGGAACTTCATCACATACAGGAAGCACAGCCACAGTGGAGAGGTTACTAGCTGGGTTTGTAACATCTGCACTTGTTGACATACTTGGCAAACTCAGAGCTGAACCTGATTAACAGGGAGCAGGGTGTGTGAATGACATACAAGAGACAGAATAGAGACATGAAGGAAGGATTTATCATCTTCTGACCTGAGAACGGACCCCGGCCCTGTTGCAGGTTCCCCAGAATCTTCTGACCGAGCAAGTGGATCAACCTCGTCACAACCTGAAGGAAAGAAAAACAACACCACAGAAACAAAAATCAACCATAATAGTGCCATAAAATGCCAAAAAAGGATAAATGAATAAATACATATAGATAAGTATTTATAGACCCATAGATGTGATAACATCAATAATTTAAAGAAGTTAAACTGCAGATAGAGATGTGCATTTGCGTAAATACAGGAGTCCTTCAGTTAGGAAATACTTAAATATATGTGAACTTATTATATATGAATATAAATACTGGGACCTGGCTACGGAGCTTCCCATGCTTTCCTGACACTGGTTAGTATTTATTTATTTATAGGTTCTCAGTTGGTAACTTAAAAACCAAAGGAATCAATGAAAATGACATAGACTCCAACTGTGATGCTGCTGATCAAAAATGAAAGGTTTCATAAATAAAAAAAAAAAAAAATTAAATTAAAATTTTTAACATCCATTTTTTATGTAATCTGTTAAACAGGACAGGCATTAAATAATGGAAACCACCTGCTATTATCAAGGCCTAGAAAGACTTTTCAAAACTACAAACTTTGCAGAAATCATGATGAGCAGTGAATTAATGATAGTCATTTACCTGTGGATATCTCCTTTTAATGTTGTTGAGCGTTCCCTCTGGCAGTTTAACCAGCTCTGTGTCTCTCACAGCATGAACTGTTGTGGCCCTGGGCTGCTTGGTCAATGCCTCCACCTAGAGGACAACAAAGGAAAGAATGAAAAAAAAAAAATAAATAAATAATAATAATAAAAAATGAATAAATAAATAGAGTAATTCATGAAAAGCATTTACGAAAGCTAAAATAGATACATTTTACAGAGCAGAGGGTTTCTTACCACACCAATGAGGTCTCCTCTACCATATTCCCCAACCAGCTCTTTCTTGCCATTTGCCTTACGGATGACGGAACGTAGACGTCCATTCAGAATAATATAGGTGCAGTCGGACTGGTCATCCTGCCTATGAGTAGGATTATAAAAATCAAATAGTTGTCACCATCGAAAATAAGAACTATAACATAGCAATCTTGTTTAGTTTTTTCTGTTTTTCAAAGTTTCCAAATTAATACTACAAGGTTCTTTATTTTTGGCATATCAATAAATCATAATATGTTCTACCTTCTTTTATTAACTCTATAGAGGAACTCTGTGATATTTGTATAATTAAAAGATGATGTATGAATAAACTTTTAAGACTTTGGATATTAGCTCACATCGAATCAAAACTACAAAATCAGTTTACCTGACATAAGATCATACATATAAGCAATGAAAATGATTTATAAACATGAACTTTTAAGTTCAGTGAGGCCTTCTTACTTATAGGAGACTTCTAAGACTGACAGTTGTCAAGCAGAAACCTTCCATGCAGCTGGTAATTTACAAACTGCTGTATCCCAGTATAATAATGGAAAATCGCATGGAAGGAAAAAGTTTAAAAAAAGAGGTGCACAAGCATGCAACAAACTTTGGTGCTCTGACAGCTGACAATCCTCAAGTTGCCAATCCATCATTTGGCTGTGTAGGTTAAGATTTCTGTATCAGAAACCTTCCATTCTTTTTCCATAACTGTTTATTGCTTTTTAAAGATGACTAATATGTTAATTTCTTCCAAAAAAAGAAACATCTGTTTTCACAACCTGTAAGTTGTACACATCATGAATACATCCATTCATGGTCATTTTAATGTGCATGTTTCATTTTTAAAATTTACTGAAGTAAAATGACTCTGATAGGACATTCTAGTTTATAGCAATGCACATACTGGTCTGATCCAACATCAGCCAACATTGTGGAAATAAACAATGAGAAATGAGAAAGTAGGCAAACCATGCATTGATTTTTTTTTTTTGCAAATATTTCTTTATTTAGCAAAATATCTTTCAATTTGTATATGTAAGATAAAACTAGAAGTACCTGTAGAGGGCTCTGCCAGCTTCTACAGCCATCCAGTCAATTGCAAAGTCCATCTGCCTGACGAAAGCTGACATTCGAATGGCCACTGTGTGGGCCACACTCAGAACTACGCTGGGCTGTTCCCTCATTATCCTGCAGGGGGCAGAAATGGGTAGAAACAGGGTTTGAATGAACTGCAAAACACAGTAAATTGAACAGCAATGAAAGAAATCTCATTTTATGCAAAAAATAAGTAAAATTTAAAGGAACATATGCTGATTCATGAAAGCTCAGCTCTTTGCAATGTTCATAACTAGCATCTTTTTTACAACCCAAACCACTCATGTCTTCTGGCTCCAGCCTGCTCTGCATACCTAGAACCAGAACTAAACATGAAGAAGCAGCATTTAGTTCCTATGCTCCACTAATCTGGAACAATCTTCCAGAAAACTGTAAAAGTGCGGAAAGCCTGAGTTCCTTTAAATCAAGACTAAAAACACATTTGTCTAGGATTGCCTTTGACTGTTCTAGTTAAACAGTTCAACTGAAACATCATTAGTTCAACTACTTTATTTTCTTTAATCCAACTGTTTTTAATGTAATTTTTTCCCCTACTTGCTTTCATTCCGTTTTATTTTCCTATATTTTAATCATGTAAAGCACTTTGCATGGTCTTTGTACTAAATTGTGCTATACAAATAAATTTGCCTGGCCTTGCTTTGTCATGTGATCTGTGCCACAGATAAGAAGAAAGACTCACTCATAGAAATCTGACTTTGAGATCTTCAGGTAAGTACAGTCTCGGACAGCCTTAACGGTAAAGATAAGGGGTTCTCCCGTGAGCACAGCGAGCTGGCCAACCATCTCTCCAGGGTGGGTAACAAACAAGCAGACGGCCTCCTGTTTGTCGATCATTCGCTGGTAGACATGCAGGCAACCAGAAAGGACAAAGTGCAGACTCACATCCTACAGAGAACCAAACAGAAACAAGAAGGCATGTTTGTTTGCTTAAGTCCCAGTTGCGGCATATACACTTCTGAAAAGAGGAGGTTGGAAATCAGTGCTTTTAGACATAAAGATGTATCATAACATACCTGATCTCCCTGTCTAGCTAAAACAGCTCCAGCTTTGGCATGGTGCAGAGTTGCTCTCCCGCTTAACAAACCTGGATCCTAGAAGAGAGAAGACAGACATAAGGTAATTATTAGTGTTGCACGAACCATTTTGAGAGCCATAAGTTTATTCAACTATTGTCACCCACTCCTGGTAGGCAATAAAAAGTTCTACTGGATTCACTTTGTATTAGATTTTTTTCCTGCTTCACAAAGGTAAACAGCAGCTTGACAAAGCCATGATGGCAATTATTTTACATTATTATGGTATCGGTATCGGCCAATACTGCACAGCCAGGTATCGGGTATCGGGGCCAAAAAATGGCATCGGCGCAACACTAGTAATTATGTAGATGAGAAGATAAAAGGAGCCAAAGCTAATTGAAAATAAACAAAATATTCACATCTTATTTAAAATATGAGCGGTAAAATAAATCTGAGAAATTGTCTTCTAGTTGCATGACTGACATTTTGAAATATTTTTTTGTGAAACACAAACCTGCAGAAAGAGGATCTACCCTATTGCATCAAATGAATGTGAACACCATCTTCACACAGAAACAACATGGGGTTATTCCCCTTTAACACAGCATCAACTATTAGAGTTTAAAATGATTACTTTAGATGTGCTGATGAAGACTGTCAATCACCAAGGGAATGCTAACCTCATTATCCACTCAGAAAAAACAACAGGCAGAAAAAAACAGAGGCAAATGGCATTTTGTTTTTGTAGATTGATTCAGTTGGATGGAAGCTCATTCCATGGTTCCTCCACACGTTTACTGCAACTGCAAACCATCCCAGATTCACGGTAGATGAAGTATAAATATAAAAGCTCAATGTGAAGCTCCTGCAGATAGTTTCAAAATCAGTGGATGGAAAGATGGAGAAAAAGGAAAGGACTAACATCTGGGCCAATCGATGGATGCATAATCAAATGGAAGGATAGATAGATCAATCAATGAAGAGATGAAAAAAAGAGGATGATAAGGAAGGGTGAATGGATATTCAAACAAATGGATGGATGGATGGATGGATGGATGGATGGATGGATGGATGGATGGATGGATGGATGGATATCAACAGGTTTTTTTGAAATAACAATAGGAAGAAAGTAAAATCTCGGGCTGCGACTAACGATTATTTCAGTAATCGATAAATCTGACGATAAGTTTTCAGATTAATCAATGAGCAGCCAGTTAGCAGAAGGTGCTGTAAAAGAGATTTCATGCAGATCTTAATCGGGTGAAGCTAAAACTACACCGCTTAAGGAAGCCTGGATAAAGCATACTGAGAAACAAATGTTTTTTCATCTTGAACACAAAATATATATTTTTTCATTTACGTTATAATTACTGTTTTGAGGTCAGCTGCCCTTTCAGCTAAGGGCATATTTTACAGTCTATTTATTCATGTGAATGATTAATCAATTACTAAATAAGTTGATAATCATTTCAATAATCATTTAATCACCATTTATCCAACTGATTGTTTTAGCTCTAGTACCCTCATACATGAAGAAAGTACAAAGTGCTTCCCCCTTCACTCTTAACATTTCATAAATTAAAGCCTGTCAAAAACAAATTTAGCCTGCATCACCAATTCTTACAAAAAAGAACATGGACTCTCAGTTAAGCCACATGCTATAACCAAAGTTATTATTTAATAAGTTACTTTAAACTAAGCTATAATGTTAAAGTAGAGCTTGATTAATTTGATGTTGCTTGCACAAAAACAGAGATGTATAGTAAATATTTGCATTAACTCAGGTACAGTTACTTGAGTAAACACTTGAAAAAAAACAACTTACTTTTAGGAGTAGGTTTACTGTTCTGTACTCCTTACTTTTACTGGAGTAATATTCTGGTAAAGTATCCCTATTCCCACTTGAGTAAAATCTCTGACTACTCTGTCCTCTCTGAGTAATTTGAACTACTGTAAAATCAGGTTAACATACAATAAACAGTAGAAATTAAAAGTGATAGTTCTTCATCCTGTCTTAATGAATATACAGTTCTCATTGCAAGGATTGGTTTTGTGATGGAAAAATTTTTTTAAAGTATGAATTTGTTATTTATATTCATGACATTTTTATTTTTAGTCATACGACTCTTTAAAAGGCCAGAACTTGCATATAAAGTATGTTTTGCATAGTTTATAACCATTAAATCTGGTGTCGTGATCCAACAGTTACCCAGTACTCAAGTAGCACTTCTACCAAATACCTTTTTAATTTTACTTGAGTAATTTCTTAGATGACTTTTTACTTTTTCCTGAGTAGAAAAAATGTTAAAGTAGTGCTACTCTTACTTGAGTACAATTTTTTGTAACAAACTGTAAAATGAAATACAGTTTGTAAATAAATGAAAAAGCAAATCATACCTCAATCCGCATGAGTCTGAGAACTTCTTTTTGAGCTTCCTCAAACAGAGAAGCGCTGGAGCGGCTGGATACGGGTGTGAAAATGTTGTCTAAACCCGATTCTTCCTCAGGATACAAGTAAATACCTGATGGAACCTCATCCACTGTTACTCTCCTCTCACGTTGTTCATGGGAAACAGACTGCAAGAAAATGCATTATTAAATAAAAAAGACAATTTAAAACATAGTTTCATAGAAGTACAGTAACTAGATTTATGCAGTTGTTTTTATCAATATGATGATAAGTTATTGTAGCTTCAGTTTTTTGTTTCAAAGAGAAATTGAACACACTGGTCATAATTGCTTAGTTCATGTGAGGAGGGTTGTAACGCTAAACTTAATCTTTTAGTCAGGCATTCAATAGTAACTTTATTACCTTTACCGGATATTCACATTTATTTGTAGATAAATACATTTTTCATATCTTGATCATTTCAACCCTGCATAGAAGTGATCTTATCTCAGAAATTTGTAGTGGACTGACCCGAGTGAATGTGGGAGGGGTGTTGCCATCTTCTGCTGACACAGAAATCCGTCCTCTCTCATATGCCATGTCAAAATCTGATCTCAAACTTTTCTGAATACCTGCAAAAGCAACAAGGAAACAATTTTACTCTGGTAAAGAATCTATTCCAAATCTATTTAATTCTGGCTTTAAATTGGTTCACCTTCAGTCATTTCTCTGGTAAAACATATACATAAAATATTTGTTTATGCAATTCAAAGCAGGAATGGTTGCTTTCTTGTTGATTTGTCCTGTTTATAAATAAATAACATTTTGATGCATCATAACTTCTAAAAGAGTTCATAAAGCAAAAATTTTCCTCTCTGCAGACCTTAATTTTAATCAGTTTGGTCATAAAACCATAAGTCAATGAGTTGCTCTTTCCAAATAACCAACAAAGAAACTGCAGCTAGAACAGTTTTGAAAAGCAGACCAGAACAAAATAAACATTGTCTTTTAAGCAACAAACTGTTTAGTTGATAAGACTCTTTAAGGGGAAGCTCGTAATGGTTTATAAGTTGAAATGATAAGCAGCGACTGTGATGATAAGGCTCAGAGAGCATTTAAATGCAGGCGCTGCACTTAAATGCAAAACAGACCTGAACCTGATCTCTGGTTAGTCAATAATATGTATTTTTTTCTTTATGCATTTCAAACCATAAAGTGCAAAAGTAAAATAGAAAGCTGTTCGGATAGGGCTGGGTGATAATTGAATATCAATATATAGCAATATTCAAAAACGACACAGAGGCTGTGTGAGTGATCACTTTCACCACAGACACTGAGTCAGTGGCTGCAGCTGTACGCTGTGCTTAGCCTAGCATAAGCTCCAACATGATACATTTTAGCTACAAACTGATCGGCCATGATAAGATGACCAAACGTCCAGGTTTTGGAGGTCTTTGATTTTAGCATTTGATGAATGATCTGTAGAATCATGTTGCTCATGCAATGCAAAAACTATCCATCTAACTAAGTCTTACAACCTTATATATCTTTCTAAAAAGTCTCTTTGATCTTAATAATATGCAATAATCTGCACACGGTAGCAAGACAATTGCATTTGATAAGACTTCTTGAAATCATGAGATAAATTCTTATGTTACAGTGAGCATAGAAGAGCTGAGCTTGTTGTGAATCCTAAAAATAGGGAAGTGAGACCTTTTCATCCTGACAAGGAGAACGAGACCGTGACATTATAGGAAACGTGAATAAATTAATCTGTTTCAACTGAGCTGCAATAAAAAAGGTTTGTTTCACGCTGGGAAGTATTACTATTGATGTCAACGCACAGGAAAACAATAGAGTTGGGATCGATTTTGCTTTACCAAGAGAGGGGGAGAAATCTGAACAGGATGATTTAAAAAGAAAAACTGCCTCCATTTCCAATAAGGGTTTATCAAATGTTACGTTTCAGAATCAACTAGGGAAGTTTAGTTTGGATTTTTAGAGCTAGTTATGAGCCCTATTTCTAATCTATTAAAACTATTTGTAAAACAGTCTTTTGGATTAACTGTATCTTTCTCCTGGAACAAATAAATTATACATGTTAGGGCTGAAACAATTATTGATTATTGAAATAATCATCATCTAATTTAGTGCTCGATTAATCAATCACTGGCTAAAATGTGTCTTTAGCTGACAGAGCGAACCACTTTGAGCAGCAATTATACCAAAAATCTAAAAAAGAAAAGAAAAGAAAAAAAACAAAAAAACAACATTGTCTGTCAATATTGCTCCTGAAGAGGAAAAGTTTTTTTTTTTCCCACCTGATTCACCTAATATATCAAAATAAAAGTTTTGGTCATATCGTTCAGTGATCATGACGAAAAAAAAAAAAAAGAAAGATTTTAAAGAAATTAAAGAAAGAGACTAGTATTTGTTGAAACTGGAAAAGTGTTAAAAAAAAATGATTAGTGATATCTCACCAGAGATGTCCACAGGCATAGAAATTGTCCTGCTAAGATTTGGCGGACCACCCTCTTTTCCTTGTTCCCCGCCTGAGATTTAACAACAAAAGGTTACTTTGTTAATTCTTTAAGCCCATTTCAAATTATAATAATTATATTTATAATTATGCAGATTTAAATAGTTGAAACACATTTCTGACATAAATCAAGCAAATGAACAAAAGTAGGATGGAGGGAAAGATAAAAAGGTGCAAAAAAACAAAGGATAAATGAGAGGAAGGTAAACACTTAAGAGATTGATAGCCAAGTGTGTCCTGTTCTTGTGCTCTTCATCTCTTTCCCTACTTTTCTAGATTGTGCAGAAACACATTTCAATCAGGCTACTCTATATTTTTTTTCAGTTTGAGAGATGTTTGTCAAGGTAAAACAAAAAAAAAAAAGCTTCCTACAGGCAGCTAAGCTGTACTGCTGTTTTTTTTTTTACCTTTTCTTAAATTTTCTTTTTCTATTTTTTTTTTTCCTCCAATTGCTTCTTGGATGTGTACAGAAAAAAAAAAAGAAATTGGATTTGGAAATATACTCAAAAGTCAAAGACTAACCAGTAGTAAATCTAGTCCATAATCCCTGAAGCTGTCTTTTTTGTCTGTTTTAAGCTCTTTATTGAACCTTCCTATAGTCAAAACGAAACTCCCAGATAAATTAATATTAACTGTGATTTAATTATGACCATACCTGCAGCTTCCCCTTTAATGGCAGCTTCCCGATGCTCCTCTGGAACAGTCAGGCTGCCAAAGCGCTTCCCATGGCGGACAGGACTGGTGCGTGGAGCGTGAGGTGACTGCGGTGGGAGACGTGAAGGCTGCATTTCCTATGAGCCGATGAAAGAAGAAATTCAATTAAGAAAAGATTAAATGAATAAAAAACATTTTTTTTTTCCCCCAGATGGGATTCTGTCTATTGAAAAGTCTAAAACAACTTTTTCCTCTAAATAATACACATTTGACATGAGATTTTTAGGTCACTATTAATACAAGTTATATACATTTCCATAGTGAGACAAGAGCCGAATATTATAGTTATCATTTTACAAGCTTTAAACAAAGGTTTGTTGACATTTGTGACCCATTCTATATAAGGCAATACCAGTTTAAATGGGTCAGGTTTTTAGACCCCCTACGTGGGAACAGACAGATTTTCACCTCTGCAAACATATTTTCTATGGGACTACGATCAAGGTTTGTGATTATCACTACAAAACACCAACTTTACTGTCCTCAAACGACTTCTGTTTAAATTGTCTTTATATTTAGGGTCACAACGCACTTGTGAGACCGAGTTATGTTCAAGGCTTCCCCCTTTGGCTGATTCTATGCGATGCTGCTTCATTTTTTTTATTTTGCATACTAATTCTATTTTTCATGATACCATCTATTTTACTAGGCGCAACAATTTATCTATGCAAAGCACCCAAACAATACGATGCTAGAACTCCTCACAACTGGGAAGATGTTCTTGGGCTTGAAGGGATCCCAATCTCCCTGCAAATGTAAAAACTGCCATTTAAAAAACTTAAATATGCCTCTGATGATTAAGGTTTTGGTCCCCGCATTTGTAAACTGTGTTCCTGGTTTTAATGTTGTTTTTGAAGTAATGATTTCTTCTCCTCTGACTGCTCATTCAAATGGCTTATAAGCTTTAGCTAGGTGGTTGTGTCTTTCAGTACAATCTAAATACATATATCTACTTTGAACTGTAAGTAAAATTAGCTACAATAGATGCTAAGAAAAATTACCTTGTATGCCTCTGCATTAGACCTACAGATAGTTTTCTATTAATTGCACGTTTACTGCCTGATTGTGTCCAAAACTCACATGACTGAAGAGCTCATTGGTCAGGCCCAGGTAGTTGTGCAGAGCAAGGACTGTAACTCTCTGGAGGCGAACCATTATAATCTGAACAGAAAGAGAAATAAAATAAGTTATAAATGTATTAGAAATAAAACCAACAGGAAAAAAACATCAACATAAGGAGTTCCCAAAGGCTCTGTTTTGGACAAATTTCATTCTAAAGTCTTTTAACTGTTCAGATAAATTAGCTAAAGCTACATTCATAAGCTGGTAGGAAAGTCAAATTCCAATTTCGTTCTAAAAACAGATTTCTTTTTTTTCCTTGCATGTTTGTTAATACTAATAATTAAATGCTGCCGTCAACAGACTTCTGCCTAAACTGTTTATGACCCTAAAGCAACCTGCATGCACAAAGAGGGATTGTAGATGTCAAATAACAGTGTTTATGGAAGCAGTAATGGATCTGACTGCTACCAGAAAAAAATAATAATAAAAAATAACAATGCATAACTATGAACAAAGGCCTTTTAACGTAGCAGAGATAGCTACTGCTGTAGAGAAGTTTGTGACCTAAAAGACTGATAAAATACAGAAATGACAGTTTATATAACCGATGCTTTGAAAACGATTGGATAAGCATCTGACTTATCTTACCATCTATGAACACATGTTCAGTTCAGACCACCATGAATATGTTGGATATGGTACGCAGATTGGAAAAAATGACTGACTTTGATCACATTCACCTGCTGTGTGACAAAGCTTAAAGTATATTAGCAAATGAATAACTACCTTCCTCTTAACTCAGTCACTGCCCTACGAATCCCAGTAACTTGTAGCAACGGAAAGCAGGACTCCTATCAGGCTACAGATTGGACAAAGCAGGTTTAATGATTTGAGATAAGGTTGTTTTTTTTTTTTTCTCTAACTGATTAGTCTCTTAAAGCAGCGGTGTGAGTGATATTTTATTTTGAAAAATATAAAAAATTGCGGTATTCTCTCCCAGTTACATCAGTCGGTGCATCTGTGCCTCTTGGCACAGGTTAATTCAGTTCAGGACTCATCCTATGTATAACATCCTATCTTTGTGAAGCAGGATTTTCTGCGGTTAGAGCGACCAAAACAAAGCTACGGAGCAGACTGGACATCAGGAGCACACTTAGTCTGTCATTGTCTCCGATTACGCCACGGATGGGACCGGCTTATTGTTTTATTTTTATGCTGTTTGTATTTGATTTTATGCCAGTCGTATCATTTTACTTGATCGTATTTACCCCCACGCCCGGCCGGTCAGCGGGGGGGTGGGGTTGGGTAAATACGATCAAGTAAAAAACGGTCCGCCGCCGCCACAGGTAATATCTGACAACTTGATCACCTAAACCTCAGTCAATTTCTATTACACAACATGTATAGATTTAAGCATAAAGGGACCTTACCTGAACAACTCGCACCAGACTCTCAGGATACTTCTCAAATATGGAGAGGAAGGCCTCAACAGGTAAACGGAGAACAGTGGAAACCTCTGCAGCTCGAGCCGACACTGTTCTGTAAGGCTTCTGATGGCCCTACAAACAAAGGAAGTTGATTATTTAGACATTAAAATCATAATGGATTTAAACCAAGATAGAACCAATAATCTCTGTGTGAGTTCTGGGCATGGTTTTATGAGGATATTAATGATTTCAGGTATATATAATTCATGCTGAGTGGTTGGGATTAAATACAGCGTGATAAAGTATCTCTGTCTAGGAATTGGAAAAGCTTCTGTGTGTAGATGTGTCTGTGTGAAGTGACCTACTGTGATGACATCCAGAATGCTAAGGAGGCTGTGAACACTGTCACCAGCATAAACCTCCTTGACCACGTTCTCTTTGCCGTCCTGGGAAAACAGGAATAGAGATTTAGATCTATGTTCAATAAAAAAAATTAAATAAAAAATCCTTCAGATTTTTCTTTCTTTTCTAGTTCTGTTACAGACATTTGAAAAGATGTTTTGTTTTTTAAGACGTCTCAATCTGGACTAATGCTGAATATAAACCAGTCTAATTTTTTTATGGAAGCTTATTTTTCATGTGAATTGAAAGAATATCGAAATAATTATTAAAACTAAATATTAACCAATCTGCTCGTCTTTCAATCAAAGTCTATCCATTAAATAACTAATGAACCCTCCAAAACTATAAAAGAGTATTTGGTACCATTTCGGAGGCTGCTCAAATTTCATTGAACAGGATTCTTATTAAAAGAGAATACAGAACAAGAGAATCCACAATGAATTTAATCAGTACAAGAGCAGTAGTATACAATTCAGGAACCATCCATAATGCTTATCCCAAGCAGGATACATGCAAAGTCCATGGAGAAAGACCCTGGGTCAGGAATTGAACCTGGAACCTTTTTAGCTGCAAGGCAGCAGTGCTTCCCACTGCGACTTTTAAATATCTGAATAAGCATGATGGAGGCATTTACTCTGGGTCAAGTTTAAAAACGAGTTAGAAGACTGGTTGTGTCAAAGTAAATAAGGATCTGGGTAAAGCAAATACATTCAGCAGCAGCCCTGTTCACTTTCTCTTTCTGGAAGTTTTGTATCATGTTTTCTATGGAAAAGTTTTAGAAACTGTTTTAAGACGCAGGTCTTTCTCATTTTACTTTTAGCATCAGACACCAATTCTTTACCACTAAACATAGACGACTGAGGGTAATCGGTGCTGTTCATTTCACTAATTTATCTTTCTGTATCTTGAAACAGAGGTAGGGTAGAACCATAATTGGGTTACTGGCAAGTAGCTAATATATCACTGACAATATAACAGACAATGTCAGCCTTCACCAATTCTACACCAGAACCCTAGAGATGGCTACACTCCTCTTTGCTGAGTGCAGGAATCATCTATATGGGGAAACCTCCCTGCAACCTCTAGGATAAAAGTACAGAATATCACATTTCAGAAATAGACTGGAAACTCCTTTATTTCTGCTGCTGTCAGCTTGGGGAACTTGACCATGTGAGAATGTTCCTATCCTTTAATGTTGTTGTGGGCTTTTCCGTATTGTGTCTCTCATAGACAAAACATCTCCAAACACAACTTTCAGTTTGGCTTTTTTAATGAGGGTCATAAAGCAACTCTGTCTACAAACTTACCATATTACAAAAGTTATAAACTTCCTGATTTGATTCTGAGCCATTAGGCAGTCTGCAGCAAGAAAGCAGAGTGGCTGAACATTAATGTGTCTGAGAACACGTGCAATCATATTCGGGATGAATAAAAATGGATCATTTTATAAAGATCACTACGCAAATGAGTTAAAAAAAAAAAACTAGTTTCTTCAAGTGCTAAAATTCAATTATATTAATACAAATCTTCTCATCTTTAAAAAAAAAAAGCACAAAAAGAAAAAATTGAGACGTATTTCCTTGCGAGAGAAGAAGCCTAAACACTAAAACAAAAGAAAGCACCCTTTAAATTTGTGTTTAATTTAATTAAACGCCGGTTTGGATGTCATTCATGTTCAAAAATAAGAGATAAGAAATGCAGCATTACCATTCCTGTAAGGCACAGTTCTAGTTTTCCATCCTGAACCACGTATATACTGCTGTCTGGCTGACCGGGCCTGAAGACGTACTCTCCCTGCTGGAACTGCAGAAAGACCATGTGTTTGCAGAGCTCTAGGAAGAGCGGCTTCTCAAAATGACCCAGCACGCTACGACAAACAAAAAGTTCTGGAGTTACACCATGGACAAGCGCTGCATCTAGAGCTTTAACAAACATATTTTTCCAGAACCTACCGGACATTTTTGAGCATGTAGAGCACCTCAGAAGGGAGGTGGGAGTTGGCCACATCAAATTCAGTAAGATCTGCCTCGAGCACTGAGGGAGGGGGCTCCTTGGCCTGAAGGATGGGCACCTCCTTCTTGAAGCGCAGGATCCTGTAAGTGTGAGACAAAATGTGGTAACGTGAGATGACAAAAAAAGGTGGATGAAGAGAGCAGATTTAATTGGATTTTACTTTTTGGCAATGTTGAGCATTTTCTGCTTCTTCTTTAGGCGTGGACGAGAGGAAGAGGAAGAGGAGGAGGATGTCCCCACAAGTGAAGAGGTAGACTGCGAAACCTGTTGGAAAATAGAAGTGAATAAATCTAGACTTTGACTAAACCATTCTAAATATTAATATGGTTAAGCATCCTACTGTAGTTCTGCTAGTGTCGTTTCATCTTTATAAAAGAAAACTGAACCTTCACTTTAAAATCTTTTGCAGCCATTGATAAGTTTTTTTCCAATATTGCTCTGAATGTAGCTCACAAGCTCAATACCCACCTACTTTATCCTCCATTCACCATAGCCCACTAATTAGGCACAGTAACAGTTTAAAAAAAAACATTTTTTTTTATCTTTCCTCCATGTTGGAAGATGACCCCAATATGTCCCCTTAATATGCAAATTGTCAGAGTGACCCAGTGAGACACCGCTGTGTTCCACCTGCAGCCTTAGCTAATAACCGGCACTGTAGTAGATCAGGATCTCCTCACCCCATGTAGTACGAGCCACTATATATATACACTCTGCAGTCAGTGTGACATGAAGAAGAAAAAAACCAAATAGAACCCTGCATACAGTACATTTTCTATGCCCCCTAAATGAACTGCAGCTCTCTGCAAAAGATCTTATTGCTTTTTTTTTAAGGGTCATTTTCAGCAGAGAACAAATATTATCCTGTCAGCAGATGTCCATGTGTTTGCTGTGGTTCTCTACCTCTCCTCCAGAGTTACCATGGTACTTTCTCCTTGCCTGGCCTGGAGGTTTAGGATGAGCAGCCTTGTCTTTGCAGTTTTTATTTGTTCTCTAATTGTTTCCTTTTCTGTCACTTGTTTAAATCTTTTCTCTAATGTTTAATACCCAACCCTGATCTAAACTTCCTTCCTACTTTGTCCTTGGGCTGTATGCCATGTTCCTCTAACAAACCTCACGGCTTTCAAAGAAACAATTTATATCAAGATTAAACTGGATAAAGATTGTCTGTTCCACATTTAAATGAAGCCTCGAGGCTGTTGGTTGTAATGGATTTGATTTAAGCGTATCAGACTTAGTGTAAAGGCATGCAAACTGCTTTTTTTATTTGCTTAAGAAAAAAAAAGGTCTAAATGTTTATCTTAACTGTGTGCCAATTCATGTTGGTCTACCACATAATTTGGTATAATAACAAATTAAAGGAATGTTTGTGGTTTCAGTGTTATCAATAGTGAAAAACCTCAACATTTTCAGACAGGCACTCACTTTTCGCATAATCTTTCGTCCGTAGAACATGACTTTGTCTCTCTTACGGAAGCGATATTTGGGTGCCTCCTGAGCCTCAATGTCTGTAAAATATAAGTTAATTTTAAGATAAACATGAGAATTTCATAATGTATTTTTCCTTTTATTTCAGAGCAGCCTATTAAACAGGATTCTGAATTTACTGACTCCGAAGTTGGATTCTCCGCAAGATGAAGAAGATGAGGATGGCGATGAGGACTATGGCGACACCGGCGCCAATGACCATTCCCACCATCTGGAAAAAGGAAATAAAAGAAAAAGAAAGGAGTGGATGAGAAAACAAAACAACAGCAACATGTTTTTTTATCTCAAAGGATCTTATCAAATCTGCTTGCAAATTTATACAAATTGTCTGACTACACTTTCAGCTACAGTGAGTCATAGTAATAAAATCTCCTGCTGCAGTGGTAAAACAGCTAAAAGAGAAGGAAGACAGAAATGAAACTGCTGCAGTGACACAAAGCCCCACTCACCATGCTCGTCTGTAGCTCTTCCTCCACAAAAGTCTTGAGGTTTTCAAATCTGTCCTGAAAGACAAAGAAAAATGCAGATACATGCTAGTACACGTAATAGCCTACAAGATAATGGTTATATGCTAACACTTAGCTGCATAAAAAGATGAAGCCGGCAGCTATAACCTCACTGAGCTTTGAAGGCATGTGGGAGGCAGGAATTTGCCCTGCAGGCAGCAACGCCTAGCTGACAGCAGTCAAAAGAAAAACTGTTGCATTTCATCAGATTGTCGTTACTTCACGTGCACTTTTTTGGACACAGTCAAAGAGAGGGTAGAGTGGGTGCAAAGATAAGTACTACTGTTTACCTTGAATGTCTTTAGCAAACCATCAGATATGGTCATGTAGATTAAAAGTGAAGCTAAATGGCCTTTGGGATTTTGGGTGAGAGCCATGGGAAGTTTATCCTGTGTTATCTGTCATCAGAGATACCACTACAACAAGCCTAAGGTCATTAGGTAGTAAATTGCCTGAATGGGACAAAAGTACAACTGAAAGAGGGAGGGTTGAAAACACAGTGGCTCTTGCAAGAATAACTCCTCTTCAAAACAGAAGCTTTTGTAGGTTTAAAATAGGATACTAAGATGAATCATTTAAAGCACTTTCCACTTTAATGTGACATACATCCTGTACAATGAAAATAAACTGATTCACAATACAGAATGATTTGTGTAAATGGCCTTAGACACTTTGATTCCATTCCACCTTAAAGTCCTCTTGATAATAAACCAGAATTTAAATTTAGGTGCATTTATAGAAAACATCTACATATATTTACCCTCTGTACCATTTAACTGAAGCCATAGTTTTCAGAGATCTTAAAGGATCAAAAATTATCTGATTTTATAAAAATGTATCAGTTAGGAAATACCAAGCTTCTACACAAAATACAAGAGGATCGTATGATCCATGTGGCAAAGGGAAACCAGTTTATTACTGGAGAGAGCAAGAAATGAATGTGACATTAGCAAGAACTAGATCTTTTCCAAACGAGACAGAAAGCTGTGGGAACTTCTGGTTGAGAACTAGATGTGTTCTACCAGTGACAACAGGCTCCTGGATACTTCATATTTCCTTACTAAAGAACAAGGCTGAGAAACTGCTTTACCTTGTAAAAAAAATAAAACATAATATAGTCTAACGTTGATAGAATGTGATATGGTCCATTTAAACCCAACCACAACTTGGGAAAACAATTTCAAAAGGTGTGTTTGGCACATGAAATAAACTGAGCATCACTAAGAACACCATACCAGAAATAAAGCATAGTGGTGGGAGCATCATTCTCTGGAGAATGATTGTTTATGTTTCAATTTAAATGTGCTTGCTTGAAAGCTAAGAATAGGAGATATTATATTCTCCACATCAAAGTGAGCTAAGACAAACACCAAACCAATTAGATTGGCTTTATTAAAAGTAAAGGAAAGTTTTACAATGAGCCAGCCAGTACCAAAAGCTAAAGTTTATATAAAATCTGTGGCATTGTCTAAAGGCAGTTGGGAACAAGAGATATCTTAGCAATCTGACAGATTTGGAAAGTAAAGAAGGAAAATATTCTCACAATATGATGTGTACCAACAGTATCCTACCAAAAAAAAAAAAAAAAAGACTAAAACATTAATTAAAAAACAACAATGTATTGTGGTGAACACGTGTTCAGTAAAGGCGTCAAGAAGACAAAAAAAATGGCATTTCAACTGTATCAGATCCAGGGTTAAACTCCCTCTTTGTCTTCTTAGCAAATCCAGGAATATGAATACAATACTTCATTAACTGATGGGTTTATTTAGTATTTGGATTTTTAGGCTGTGTTGGCAAGTTCTGACATTTCAGTACTTGTACTAGGCTTGAAAAAAAGTCTGGTATCGGTGCATCCCTGGAAGAGGCATTCAGCTAGGTTACTACAGCTGCATTTTTAAATATTTTCCCCTAATAAATATGTGGCAATAAATACAAAAATGTACAGCATACATTAGAGATTAAAGGCAAAAAATGGATTTTAATCAATCATGGTTTCACTTTTGTTTTGTTTTTTTATGTCACGAGTATATGTTATTTCACAACAGTTGTTTTCATTAATGGGATTTACTGGAAATCACAGAAAATCAAGACAAATAGATGAGATCAGTTTCAATGATTCACACAGAACATTATAATGTTCTTATCCTAAACAATGATCCAGTTAACTGCCAATAATGTCACAGAAAGAAATGATAGGGTGTGTTTAATAAAACCTTTTTTGCAATAAATGCTTATTTCATCCTGTGGTAAAGCACATGCAGCCTTTAGTATTTAGTATTTGGATGAATCAGCTAGGATGTGGAATTTGCTCATTATGACTGGTCATGCCAGTAACACGCTTTTTGCAACTCAACTGAATCCCTTAGGGGAGTTTTAATTTATTTCATTTAAAAGCCATATGTACAATTGCAAATCTCTTCTGATGCAAAAGTGCTTTTAAAAAATGTTAATAAAGACCCGACTTGCAAACAAATGAGTCAGTCTTTAAATTCTGACTCATAACTAATGCTTTCCTTTAAAACCTACCGGGGAAGTGTCGTCTTGGACCTCTTGTTCTGAGGTACTCTGTCCCATTGTAGCCTTGTGTCTTCATAGGGATGGTCCATCAACGGCCACTACAGACAAACAGGAATATCAAATGGATTAATCTCATAACAGATACAGAGCAGGACTAACTGATGTTAATGATTCAATTTAATTCAAAAATACTTGATGCCAAAGAGATGATTAAAGTTGTTGAAACTCATAGTTATTGTTGTTGTTTTTTATAACTGATCTAATCATTTGTAAGATAAAAACAAAGTGAGACGCATTTGTTTGCACTCACTATGTTATACAGCTCCCAGCTGATACAGACACTTCCTGTGTTAATATCATCTTTTGTTAACCACATGCTTCAAAATTCTTCCAAACGAAGACAGAAAACATCCAGCTAGCTCTGCTCTAGTGATCAATATCCTTCTTGCTGCAGAGCATTGACATTTGTTTTTCTCCTTAAACAAAAAAGAAATAGTTAACCCACTCTAAATGAGTGCCATTCTTTTCACAAGAGAGTTGTACAACATTAGCATTATGCTTCTGTTCTACAGCTATTACAAACAACCAGTGTAAAGGTATATTTGTGTTTTTGGACACCACTGCTGAAAGTCATAAAACTAGAAATCACAGATGCAGCAATCAGATTTTAGTTGCCCATCTGCAGTCTTTATAAATGTTTAACCTGCTTGTACGGATTTTAGTTGATTCTTATTTACCTTACCTAAGATGATAATTTACCCTTCCTCTCAGGATTGGTCAATTTTCTTTTTTTGTATGAGAAAAAAAAAACTTTTAAGATCACACCCGGACTGTGAAAGACAGCAGTTATTTAAAAAAAAATCTGCATTTTAAAATATTTAGAATAAAGACAAAAGGGATTAGTTTCCTTTTTTTTTCATGTGTT